GTCACAAATTTATATAATTTCTTTGAATCGCCTTTAAACTCCGAAACTTTTTCGCTGAATGTTTGCTTTTTCACTTTTTTAATTTCCATAAAGTATTTATTCCGGGCATTTTGAAATGAATGATAGTCCTCGGGTTTTTTGTATCGTTTCCATGTTTTTTCTGCTTTCCGAAATGATTGTTTCTTTTCAAGAATTGAATCACTGAACCATGGCTTTGGGAGCACGAGTAATACGAGTTTTCTCTGTGACTGGGGCATGTTTGTCCAAAATAACTTGAATTTTATTCTCAAAATCACATACATATTCGTTTATGTCTATTTGTTCAATTTCTAGACTTTTCAGATCTTCTGAGAAAGCGTCTTTATCAATATTTTTATAGTTCCTAAACGAGACTGTTTCACTTTTGATATTTTCCTTTTTTATTTCAGTCACAATTTTGACAACACAATGATCTGATAAAAATGGACCCTGTTCACATGATTTTATTTTAACCCCATTTTCTTGTTCAGTTATTACAAGGTCTAGTACGTTGCCCCCAATGTGTGTACTGAAGTCGACATGCTGATGAAGCCCAAGCGAAAATAAACAGTTTTTGAATTCTGATGTTGCGTGTGTACCGTCGTTTAAATGTAAGTTGAAATCGCCCATTAACATCAGGTTAGAGTTTTGCGGTATTACATCTTCCAAAAATTCACAAAATTCTGACACAAAGTTAGTGACTGTACATAGGTTTGGTGGTCGGTAAACACCCACAATAGTCATTGAAATGTTTCGTAAAACTACCTTCCATATGCCATGTTCGAACGAATTTCTGGTGCGGCTATTGATTTTACGAACGTTAACCCCAGTCCGAGATACGAGACCGACCCCGCCACCGATTCGTTTTGGACGATTTACTAGACTTAAAGTATAACCACTTTGATTCAAGTCAGAAGTATCGATATGATGTTGCTTATCGTCGGAATACCATGTTTCAGTCAATATTGCAAAGTCAATTTTCTCCTCTCGAAGATATTGTCCAACAATGACATCTTTCGTAACAACGGAATGGCAATTTAAAGTCATGCACTTGATCTTTTCATCGTGCCGCTTTAGTGTATTGGTGATCTTTGGATGGATTAGATTTGAATAATCGACGCCTCTGGGATGATCGATGACCTTTTTTTGACCACCCCTTTTACCACGACGTTTTCGATGTTGAGCGATGTTAAGTTCGTTTATTGTATGTGCAACGGAGGGATCAATTTTAAAACTGCTTCTATTGTTTGATACATATTTACCGATATCCAATAATTTTTCTCGAGGGTATATCCGATTTGAATAGGAGTAATCCAATTTTTGACTTTCTGTTTGATTTTTATGATAAAAGTTTTGAATATTTCCAAAATTTTCTCTTGATTTTACCCATTCCACAACTGATATTGTAAAGAAATAAAAACACAGAAAGATGCACAATATATTCATTATTCCAGATATCACTTCTTATCAAAATCCAAGCTTTAATAATCGAATATCACAATTTAAACACAGAGCGAAATTAACACGTCTGCCTCAACCGGCGACTATAACTATCCATATGAAACCATATGAGCCACGTCACGACAAAACCAACGTAATGGGTTTGCGACCAGCATGGATCCAGACCAGCCTGCGCATCCGCGCAGTCTGATCAGGATCCATGCTGTTTGCTATCAGTTTCTCTACTTGTAATAGGGTTGGTAAGCGAACAGCATGGATCCTGATCAGACTGCGCGGATGCGCAGGCTGGTCTGGATCCATGCTGGTCGCAAACCCATTATGTTGGTTTTGTCGTCACGCGGCTCATATTGTTTTTGATGTCATGACATGTTTGAAAGCAAATATAGTACATTTCTAATGCTTTATTGTTAATTATTTAGTAAGAAAAAGTATCTGAAGCAATCTGACCAGCTTATTTTATTTGGCAATGTCAAGTAGATGTTGAGATTCTAACAACGGCATTTCGTAAGTTTACAAATAACAAAAAAATATATTCTTGTCGTATAAAGAATAATCCTACGTTTGCAAGCTTACTTAAGTTAAAACAACAATGTTTATTTTTTTTATTTTAAGCCGAATAGTTTGTAAATATCACTTTTAAAATATAGTCATTGCGTTCATTGAACGCCGCCCTTCCTTGTTGATCTTGTTCTGCATATCATATCATAAACTTTATGATCTGGAAGTTGATTCGGTTGGATTTTGCTAGAACAGGGCAAAGTCGAATGTTGTCAGTATTGTTATGCTTTTCTGGTCATTCGGGAACTTTTAAGTGTTGAGAATTGAGTACGGCTCAAACCGGTGCTAGGAGCTTGAGGGATGTTGCACTATTTCATTATCCCTTATGTACAGACTCAATCAAACCAAGTCTGCAATTTTCATGTAATTTTGCGGATTTGATGTTTTCGAGGGATTAGTTTTTCCAGATATTGAAATATTCTGCCGATACCCTGAACATCTCTGTGTTGGTTACAACCCGGTGAAGGAGATACAGCTAAATACATTCAATTATAATTGAGCCACGTCATGACAAAACCAACGTAATGCGTTTGCGACCAGCATGGATCCAGACCAGCCTTCGCATCCGCGCAGTGTGATCAGGGCTTACAAACCCTAAAACAAGTAGAGAAACTGATAGCGAACAACATGGATCCTGATCACACAGCGTGGATGCGCAGGCTGGTCTGAATCCATCCTGGTCGCAAACGCACTATGGTGGTTTTGTCGTGACGCGGCTCATATTTATTTATTATATAATGATGGGAATAATCAATAGAAGCTGCGGAAATGACGTCGTATTGTTAAGGAAATATATTATATAGAAAATTCTTCCTTATCTTAGACTTTAAAATGAGTGCTTTAGGTTAATGTATTAAATTTTCATTAATTTCCAGTTATTATGGTAAATTTTGACACCGTTTGTAAACCATCCTTGTAACAGAATTGTAATTTGTTTAATGGATATATCTCCCATTCGTCTATTTAATAGTTGAAATTTCTTATAACCACTTTTTTATTATGGCTTTTTAAAGTTTTTCACGATTTTGCATACCCTTTAAATGTTAAAGTTGTAGTTAATTCATGTATTACAAATATCTGATAAGCTACCGTGAAAATAAAATGGACAAGCACCTCAAAAAGTTGTTCATAGTTGTTTTTTTTTTCCAAATGTCACGTGCGTGTTAGCAGATCCAACATTAAATATATTTGACCCATCATTTAGTCTGGAAAAGTAAAAATGTGAAGTTATGCAATTATTTCACTAGATATAGACTTTAAAATGAGGTTTAAGATCACTAGATCTATTCAACTTTGGTCAAGTCGTCTCAAAGACCGAGAATGTAAATATCTTAATCATCAAATATATATTAAATCAGACTGAACTATTTTGCAATTAAAAGTACATGGTTTGCAATTTTTCTTTATAAAATATACAGGCTAAAATTTGACCTTCATCGGTCGATCTCTGCATGGTTAATGTCATGTCACACGTTATAAACAATACTGTTAATTTTCAAAGTACTTGACTTGGTTGGTTTCAGGGGCATATGTTGTCTGAAAATGGTATAATGAAATAAATACATTGTATTACATGATAACATGTCTGCGGCCTTTGTTAACATTTGAAATTTTCTCAAAGTTGTTTACAGGAAGTTTCACTTAAATGTATCCGGTATATAATAATAAACAATGATGAGTTTCGTTTGATAATACAAAGTAGTATCCAAATATAGAAAACGTCCTTCGGAAGAAATCGAAACAAAGCAATCTTGCAGCAACTACTCGGATACTGACCGGCTTTGGTTTAAACATATTTGAGCCGCATCACTAGCCTGGGACTCAGGCGTTGATATTTTTTTTGCTTATTCATAACTTACGCGCTATTTCATACTCGATCGTCATAGATAACACAACATTTCTGGTTTTGATAGTATCAAAATGTCGATTTGCCGAACAGAAGCACATAAAAAAATCGACAGACTGGAACCGAGGCTACCGCATCACGACAAAACCAACATAATGGGTTTGCGACCAGCATGGTTCCAGATCAGGATCCATGCTGTTCGCTTACAAACCCTATAACAAGTAGAGAAACTGATGGCGAACATCATGGATCCTGATCAGACTGATCATCCGCGCAGTCAAACAAACATAATGGGTTTGCGACAAGCATGGATCCAGACCAGCCTGTGCATTCGCGCAGTCTGATCAGGATCCATGCTGTTCGCTTAAATACCCTATAACAAGTAAAGAAACTGATAGCGAACAGCATGGATCCTGATCAGACTGCGCGGATGCGCAGGCTGGTCTGGATACATGCTGGTCGCAAACCCATTATGTTTGTTTTGTCATGACGCGGCTCATTTCCACGGTTTCATGACCATCAGCTTACGTAAATGCATTTAGGAAAACTACGAAAAATAAAGAGCGTTAAGTCTTAATGTGCTTCTGTAAAGTTGCATAATTTGTAGCAAGTTATTTGTAAGTTATTTTTGCTAATATGTCAAGGTCCGATGATTATTTTGAATAAAGTTAATTTTTTAGAACATTTTGATATCGTTGAACACCTGGTGGTAACATATCGGTAACATTAAACTGAAATATTAGATAATATCACCAACTGGTGAACAAACTATAATGGCAAAAACCTTAAGTAAAAATGAGCATGAAGTAACAACGTACTTTCCAAATTACTTCAAAAAGTATCAACGCAATCTCATGTAGTAAATTATTTCAGGAGGGCATTATCTTATTAGATGTCAATAAGTGACTAACTCAGTCCGACCGGTAACTGAAAGGACGCTATATCAAATAAACAAGACATATCAATCCCTATTGCTGTGATGCATTAGCCCCAAGTTTTCAGGTTTTCGGAAGAAAACAGATGAATTAAAGTGTAACATGGGCAAATTTGTATTTAAACAAGAGAATATCGCCACGTCATGAAGAGAAGTTCGTACTATTTAAAACTGAACAACGTCTGAAATATGACATTTTATTTTCTATAAACATCGAATGCACATGGACGGACATTTGAAAGAAATAGATATATAAATGCATAAAACTTTATTTAGTACAGCTTATAAAGGCTTTTAGTGTCCAAATAGATGATCTCTATCAACTCATTATAGTTGTAAGCAATTACGATTAATTCACCCCTTTACATCCGGGGATTGTCTGTAGTTGTTGCCAGTAATTCAAGGTACTACTGCTATGACAGCCATTAGGTCCACCATTGTGTTCTCGAGCGAAGCCCTCACAATTAAGGGGGCAACGGTAGTGGGTGGCGTATCTTTTCATGTATTGCTGGACACACTTGGATGAGCAGTTTATGTCGTTCGAGCAGGATTTCCAGTCTGAAACATAATAACTTAAAAATTGAAAGATTTACATTATTTATATTCATTTTAATGTATACTTAGTAGCACCTCAAGATAAGAAAATGTCCTATTAAAAACCAGCCTCTCTGGGTCACATTTAAGAATATGTATTTTACAATTTATCCAGTAGAAACGATTTATTTTACAAGAACAATTTCTATATTTCTCGTTTCTATAAGCTTCAGAACAAGGGCATCCTTAAACAACTGGCATTGTAAAAACAACCCATATTTATAAGCCAGTCCTATATATACACTAACGTATTGACCATTTTTAACGTCTAAAACATCAGTATCTTTGTAAGTATGTAAATTTTCGAGGAGGACTGTCTGAAAACTTTGCTGACTATCCGAGATTCCCCCAGCCTTCAATCAATCAATCAATCAATCAATCAATCATTTATTCATTCAATCAATCAATCAATCAATCATTTCTTCATTCATTCATTCAATCAATTAATCAATCAATTAAGCAACCAACCAAATACATAAATAGATAAACAAATAAATAAATAAGATTGTGTGAAGGTTTTACATACCTATACCTGGTTTACCGCAGTCTATCCAATAGCGTTGCTTAATCTGGAAGTAACCACACGCCAGAGATCTTACATCCATTTGACAACCTATTGGCTTACATCCTCCGGACTCCAACTATAACAAAAATAAAACAAGTTCTAAATTATAATAGAAGACATTCATTGAAGATTGATAATCAATCATACACATGTGTGTATTGTAGGGGCGTCCATGGCCGAATGGATAAGCTTAAGGTTGCTGCTTTCAAATCATTTGCGCCACGAATCCCGCCGGGGACCTTGTATTATTTCATGTGAGGAAGTTATCCAGCTAGCTTACGGAACGTCGGTGGTTCTTCTAAGGTACCCGTTGGTGCATGAAATAATAGATGGAGGGACACCTGAGGTCTTGCTCCACCAATAAAAGCTGGAAAGTCGCCATATGACCTTTAACTTGTTTGTGCGACTTAAAACCCGATCCTACGATAAAATTTTGTATATTGTTGATTTTACGATACATTTCACAAAATTGATCAAAAATATTTATGTAATTGTAAACCCTATGTAAACAATAGATCGATAGGATAGAGGGTTATATGAATAAGTTAAACGCCCTGTAAACTTCTTCAAACTGCTACGTAAACAAACATTTTGTGATTTTATCTACTGTTGTTTACATTGAATAACAATAACTGTATATAAAACTGAGGTGATACACTAAATATGATTTGATTTTAATTTTTTCATAAATATTTATATGATTAGGATATGTTAATTCTTATTAAAGGCCCATTATGCCTTCAAAATGCTATAATTTTATTTGTCAAAAACTTTCAATATTTGGTCTCATTTTCACAATTTCCAAAAATACTCATTTGTCATATAGAAGAACAATATTTTATATTTTACTCTGTTGACAATGCTTATATTTATATTGAATGAGTATTTAGTATGGAAGTCGAAAAACTACTTTGTTTACAAGAACTAACCTTACACATACAGAGGAGGCATTTTTGAGATACCATTCCTGGTGCGAAATCCAAACCTTCTTCAACGCTCACTGTTTCCATGACTACAAAAGACAGCAGAAAATGTGACAAAATTTTACCTCATAAATCGTCTGACAATGTCTTCCCAATTTTTTCTTTAGATTTGTTTCCAATTTATCCAGAACGAAATTCATATTTTACTTATTTGATCAAACATTCATTGAAAATTTCAATCAGAGAAAACATTTACTTTATATACATGTACAGGCATTATAATTACGATGTTCGTACATTTTCTTATTCTTATACCCACACCGTATAACCGGTGTCAGTAAAAACAGACTGCTGCATTGATGACATGAATCTAAAATATACAGATTACTACAGGATGGTTATAAACTTGGTTGGTATATCTACATTATGCAATATATATATATACATTTCTGCCATCGACGGCAGCATTTTCTTTCTGATCGAGCTAACTTGGACTCCTGCAACATTCTCAAGAAAAGACGCACTGGGTTATAATTTGGCATGCGTGACTCTTAGTGATTAATGTTTATGTATATAACCAGAAATACATTTATTTGTTTAAAACTTGAGATATTTTGAACATAAAACAATCATTTTCAGAAATGATTTTTCCGAAGTTTTCATTTTTGACCCAATCAAAGCATTTTTATAAAATGGGGAAAAGAGTCCAAAAATTACCGTCAATGGTCAGTAAGTATATAACAATGAAATTGTCTTTCTTTGCGTAAATATAAATATACCAACCAAGTTTATAACCTACCTTAATTAATCAGTAAATCTTAGATTTCTGCCATCACTTTAACAATCTGTCATCACTAGCGCCGGTTATACGGTGTGATACAGTATTAACACTTGTTACTTACATTTCTCTTCGACTGATTTATTCTGATTTATTTCATCTCGTAGTGTTTCCCTTGCAGCACAAATTGTGGTCAGAAAAATAAAATACACAATGACCGCCCTCATATTTCTGTTTTATTTTAATCCCGACGGACTTCAGTATTTCATGAGTGATAAAACCGTAATGTTTGAAGTCTGCCTGTAATTTAACTATAACTTTACACAACGGATGCTAAACTAAATAACTAATCACGTGACTATTCGAGCCGGAAAATTGGACAGATCGTATGGCATATTTAATACCCAATGGGTATTTTATCAAGTTAATTTATGACTATTCTATACTGTTACAATCATAATGGGCACAGTATATAAAACTCAAAATATGGGTAAGGGTAGCCTGTTCAAGTCACACATGACCACCGTAAATAAAACTTAAAATATATGTGTTGGTAACTTTTTAGACTCACAAGTGGACACAGCAAACGAAATTTAAAATATGAAACATAATATACAAGTAAGGCAAACCTATTTGAGTCACACATGGCCACAGTATATGGAACGTTAAATATAAGTATGGAAACCCCATTTGAGACATACATGACCACAGTAAATGGAACATTATATATAAGTAAGGGTATTCTAATAAAGTCAAACATGGCCAACTATAAAGAAAATTCTATATAAGTAAGTGAAACCTTATTGAGTCACACATGGCCTTAATATTTTAGACATAATGTTTAAGTCAGGGAAATGTATTTGAGTCTAATTTTATTAGGCTACCCTTATTTATATATAATGTTCCATATACTTTAGTCATGTGTGACTCATATAGATTTCCCTTACTTAAACATAATGTTCCATATATTTTGGCCTAGTGTGACTCAATTAGATTACCCTTACTTATATAGAATGTTCTTCATAATGTGGGTATGTGTGACTTTATTGCGCTACCCTTACTTATATTTAATGTTCCATATACTGTGACCATGTGTGACTCAAATAGGTTTCCCTTACTAAGATATTATGTTCCATTTATTGTGGTTATGTGTGACTCAAATGGGTTACCAACACATATATTTTAAGTTGCATATGCTGTGGCCATATGTGACTTTAATAGGCTACCCTTACTTATATGCTCCATATACTGTGGCCATGTGTGACTCAAAAAGGGTTCCCTTACTTGTATATGATGTTTTATATTTTAAATTCTGTTTGCTGTGTCCATTTGTGACTCTTATAGGTTACCAAACAGATCAATTTTAAGTTTTATTTACGGTGGTCATGTGTGACTTTAACAGGCTACCCTTACCCATACTTTAAGTTTTATATACTGTACCCATTATGACTGTAACAGTATAGTATAGTCATGAATTAACTAAATAAAATACCCATTTGGTATTTAAAAGTCCAATTTATGCAAATGACGTTTTTAAGCTCCCGATGGTATTTACGGGGAAGAAAATTGTTTTGGCAATTTAGTGGTCATTAGCCTCGACGTGACCTATGGAAATTAGTTGCTCCCGCCCGCCATATTGTTTGACGCGAAGATATCCGAATGAACCCAACATAATTGTATGACCACTCACCAATCATCTGAACTGAACATAATGACTGTATACCACCAGTTTGTCTTCACTACTGAACATAATAACCTCTGCACCAAACAGGATATCATCTGAACTGAACATAATGATAGTATCACACAACAGTTTGTGTTCACTACTGAACATAATGACCTCTGCACCGAACAGTACATCATCTGAACTGAACATAATGACTGTATCACACCACAGTTTGTGTTCACTACTGAACATAATAACCTCTGCACCAAACAGGATATCATCTGAACTGAACATAATGACTGTATCACACCACAGTTTGTCTTCACTACTGAACATAATGACCTCTGCACCAAACAGGATATCATCTGAACTGAACATAATGATAGTACATTTTTTGTATCACACCACAGTTTGTGTTCACTACTGAACATAATGACCTCTGCACCAAACAGGATATCATCTGAACTGAACAATATGACGGTATCACACAACAATTTGTGTTCACTACTGAACATAATGACTTCTGCACCGAACAATATATCATCTGAACTGAACATAATGACGGTATCACACAACAGTTTATGTTCACTACTGAACATAATGACTTCTGCACCGAACAGTATATCATCTGAACTGAACATAATGACGGTATCACACAACAGTTTGTGTTCACTACTGAACATTATGACTTCTGCACCGAACAATATATCATCTGAACTGAACATAATGACGGTATCACACAACAGTTTATGTTCACTACTGAACATAATGACTTCTGCACCGAACAGTATATCATCTGAACTGAACATAATGACCTCTGCACCGAACAGTATATCATCTGAACTGAACATAATGACGGTATCACACAACAGTTTGTGTTCACTACTGAACAGAATGACCTCTGCACCGAACAGTATATCATCTGAACTGAACATAATGACCTCTGCACCAAACAGGATATCATCTGAACTGAACATAATGACGGCATCATACAACAGTTTGTGTTCACTACTGAACATAATGACTTCTGCACCGAACAGTACATCATCTGAACTGAACATAATGACCTCTGCACCAAACAGGATATCATCTGAACTGAACATAATGACGGCATCACACAACAGTTTGTGTTCACTACTGAACATATTGACTTCTGCACCGAACAGTACATCATCTGAACTGAACATAATGACTTCTGCACCAAACAGGATATCATCTGAACTGAACATAATGACGGCATCACACAACAGTTTGTGTTCACTACTGAATATAATGACCTCTGCACCGAACAGTATATCATCTGAACTGAACATAATGACCTCTGCACCAAACAGGATATCATCTGAACTGAACATAATGACGGCATCACACAACAGTTTGTGTTCACTACTGAACATAATGACTTCTGCACCGAGCAATCTATCATCTGAACTGAACATAATGACGGTATCACACAACAGTTTGTGTTCACTACTGAACATAATGACCTCTGCACCGAACAGTACATCATCTGAACTGAACATAATGACCTCTGCACCAAACAGGATATCATCTGAACTGAACATAATGACGGCATCACACAAACAGTTTGTGTTCACTACTGAACATAATGGCTTCTGCACCGAACAGTACATCATCTGAACTGAACATTATGACCTCTGCACCAAACAGGATATCATCTGAACTGAACATAATGACGGCATCACACAACAGTTTGTGTTCACTACTGAACATAATGACCTCTGCACCGAACAGTACATCATCTGAACTGAACATAATGACCTCTGCACCAAACAGGATATCATCTGAACTGAATATAATGACCTCTGCACCGAACAGTATATCATCTGAACTGAACATAATGACCTCTGCACCAAACAGGATATCATCTGAACTGAACATAATGACGGCATCACACAACAGTTTGTGTTCACTACTGAACATAATGACTTCTGCACCGAACAATCTATCATCTGAACTGAACATAATGACGGTATCACACAACAGTTTGTGTTCACTACTGAACAGAATGACCTCTGCACCGAACAGTATATCATCTTAACTGAACATAATGATAGTACTATTCAACAGTTCTATTTCACGACTGAACAGAAGGAATTAAGTACCCAACAGCATGTCATTGCAACAGAAAATAATAAAAGTATCACTTAATAATACACTGCCTCAGCCAAACAAAATGATAGTACCACTCAACTGTTTATTTTCATGATTGAACGTGATGAGAAGAGCACCAAACAGCATAATATTATAACCGAACATAATAACTGTAACTTGGACTTTATCATTATCACAGACAGGAGAAGTGGTGTGCGAAAATAGCAAGATGCAACAAATGCAAGAGAATTGGACACTTTGCACGAGTTTGCCGACATCAAGCAGTTACGTCAAGTCTATCTAATCAACGGGATCAAGAACGAATGACAACTTTTATTAGACGCAAGACAGCAGAATGCACATTATCATTCTACAATGAAAACGATGCTTTCTTTCAGAACAACCAAACAAACAACTCTGAAAGTCATGTTTCAATAGCAGAATTTCAAAAGTTGAAATCTTTAACTCATTCAATGAATAACACAATTAACGGTTTGAAATCAGAAAATGTGGCTCTCAATTTGAAAAAATCAAAGACTCAAGGACTTTAACGAAAACCTGCAGAATGAGATTTCCCTCAAGAAATCAGAAATATGTCATCGTCAAAACTAGAAAAAAATGGACAAACTCATAATAGAATTTAAGAAAATAAATGACTTTTTTTTTTTTTTTTTTTTTTTTTTTTGGAACCACGTTTAAGGCCCGTTTATTTACATTTACCTTTTTACATAATACATTCATTTTACATTTTTCAATTAATTATTTTACATAACATACGTTACAAACTAATATACATGTATATGTTGTTGTAGACATTTTAAAATAAAATTGTTTCGCAGTGGCCTATTCTTAGAGCTGTACATTTACTATAATTAAGATTTAGACCTGAGATGAATGAAAATTGTTCAAATATATTTAACATTTCTTTGAAACTGTTATTTGTACCATCTAATAATATTGTTGCATCATCAGCAAACATGCTGTTTTTCACTTCTATATCAAATATTTTAAATCCTTTAATATTTGTATTCTCTCTTATTGCTATGGAGAGGAGTTCAATTGCTAACATTAAAATGTAAGGAGATAATGGACAGCCTTGTCGGACTCCTTGTCTGATATTAAATGAGTCCGACAAGAAACCATTGTAACGAATACAACTTGTTGGATTTTTGTATAACAATTTTACTCACATTTTTAAATTTGGTCCAAAGTTAAATAGATCGAGTGTTTTTGAAATAAAATTATGATTGAAACTATCAAAACCTTTTTCAAAATCAGCAAAAAATAATATTCCAGGTTTTTCGTTTTGTTCTGCGTACTCGATTACATCATATATCAATCTTATATTTTCACCAATGTATCTGCCTTTAATAAATCCAGTTTGGCTATTGTCGATCAAGTTATTTAGTACACGTTTAATTCTATAAGCAATAACTTTACTCAGTATTTTATAGTCAACGTTTAATAAACTTATTGGCCGCCAGTTTGAAAGAAGTGATTAATCTTTTTTTTGGTTTTGGGATT